AGAGGAAGACCAAAGAGGAGATATATGGATGCAGTGAGGGAGGACATGCAGATAGTTGGAGTCAGAGTAGAAGATACAGAGAACAGGGAGAGATGGAAATCAATGCTCTGTTGTGACAACCCCTGAAAAAAAAGGGACAAAGCCGAAAGAAAAAGAAGATGGTTAATTGCAGATTTTAATGGTTAAGTCTGGGTCTGCTGTTGGTTTAAAGCTTAAGGACAACACTTTTTTCCTAGCAGAATCACTAATTAAAGAGTTTTTTCCACCTTTAACATGTCATTTAACCATTATAAACACAGACCTGAGGATCTTCAGAGCCTTGTCAACCTTTCCCACTTCCAAAGCTCTTAGGGCCAACTCAGACCAGAGCTCCTGCTCTGTGTGCTGCAGCTGTCTTCCCAGACGATGCAGACCGGCCTCAGTTGAAATAGTTTTTATTTTGCCGTGCGGATCATTAGCCACGACTGAATTAGTCGTAGCTTTCCTTTTGGATGACTGGCGCCTTCGTGTGTTTTCGTAGGTTGTGAGATGAAGCTCCTTGATCTGTTTTCTGATTTCTGGATCCTCAAAGTTAGAGGGAGTGATGAATACATCAAAGTCCTCCGGGAAAACATGTCAAAATAAATGGTAGGATTTTAATAATTCAAGAACAATGAAATTACTAGGAAATTCTTCTTTGCCTTTCGGCTTTCTCCCTTTTTTTCAGTGGTTGCCACAGTGAATCGTTTCCCATCTCTCCCTGTTCTCTGTATCTTCTACTCTGACTCCAACTATCTGCATGTCCTCCCTCACTGCATCCATATATCTCCTCTTTGGTCTTCCTCTTTGTCTCCTACCTGGTAGCCCCATCTCTAACATTCGTCTACCAATGTATCCACTGTCCCTCCTCTGCACATGTCCAAACCATCTCAATCTGGCTTCTCTAGCTTTTTCTCCAAACCTTCCTGTCTGTGTTGTCCCTCTAATGACAGCATTCCTGATCCTGTCCATTCTTGTCACTCCTAAAGAGAATCTTAGCATCTTTAACTCTGTCACCTCCAGCTCTGCCTCCTGTCTTCTGCCTATTGCTACTGTCTCTAAACCATACATCATGGCTGGTCTCACCACCGTCCTGTAAACCTTTCCCTTCACCTTAGCTGACACTCTTCTGTCACAGATCACTCCTGACACTTTTTTCCAGCTGTTCCATCCTGTCTGTACTCTATTCTTCACCTCTCTTCCACAGTCTCCTCTGCTCTGAACAGTTGATCCTAAGTACCTAAACTCCTGCACCTTCACCACCTCTGCTCCTTGTAGCCTCACTATTTCACTGTTCTGCCTTTCGTTTTCACACATGTACTCTGTCTTGCTGCGATTGACCTTCATTCCTCTTCTTTCTAGTGCAAACCTCCACTTCTCTAGGTTCTCTTCTAGCTGCTGCCTACTCTCACTACAGATCACAATGTCATCTGCAAACAACATAGTCCATGGGGACTCCTGTCTGACCTCATCTGTCAATCAGTTAAAGAATTAAATATTAACAAAAATGACTAGGAAATACGGTAATACATTTTTATTGAAGCTCACCTGAAGGTGGGCGATCTCCTTAAACATGGCAAGGTTGTTCTCACACTCCATGATTTTGAGAATATCTTCTGCAATGATAAACGAATACAAAGATTCTCTTACCTCTCTGTTATCATCTTTTACATAGGTTTAATGCATATCTCAGATCTTTAAACAAAACTGCAGTTTCCACTGAGTTCTTGTTGTCTAAATGTGAGAACAGTAACATCAAGTGACACTTCTGAGGAAGATGGGAGCTCACCGTCAACACATCGCAAAGTAAATCTACACTTGAAATGTAGTCCACTATATAATAAACTTGAGGTGAAAAAAAGTACTTTCATGAGTCAGAAAATTTGATTGAAATCAAAGCTTTCTGTATAATGAATGCTCACGTTTTTGGATGACTTGCAAGTACTTCAGTGCCTCCACCATCACCTGAGTTACCAACATCTGCTGTTTCTTGTACTGTTGACAATAAATATAGTAAAAGTATGTAGTAAAGTAAAAAGTATGAGTATTTATCCATACAGTCTTATACTACATACTGTGCATACTAAATGTAAAGATTAGACCAGTGGGATTAAATGTTTTACATAACTCACAGAAACATATTTATATCATCAACACTAGAATAGTGTTGATACCAAATAAAAATCCTACATTAATCATATTAGTTCTACCAGAGAACACATTATTAGTAAACTTAAGTAAATAATCACATTCATAATATTACATTCTGAATATTTTTTGTGCAACCATTTTTTTATACATTGCAATACCCCTTGATAATTATAGGATAATGGGTAAAAAAAAACAGAGGCTTCTCAAAGGCATCCAAATGTTAATTTTAACACAAATCAATCTTCTCCATCCTCACCTCCTCAGATGTGTGCACTTTTTTCTCCAACTGCAGCCTGGCCCACGAGGTAAGACGTTCTATAACCAATTTTGCCTCTGAAGATGACAGTTTCTTCAGGATGGCCATACATTCTTTAATCTGTGAGTAAAATAAGAAAATCCTAACGACATGCGGAATAAATATGGATTCAAAAAAATTGTATATCTGGAAAAGTTTATTTATTTCCATAATTCCATTCAAAAAGTTAAACTTTCATATATTATAGATTCATGGCCCACAATTTAAACATTTTCAAGAATTTATTTGTTTATTTTTACATAATTTGGGCTTTCAGCTCATGAAACCCACAAAAACAGGAAAAAACAATACTGTGGAGAAATCAACATTCATTCCAGAAAAAAAGGAAAGAAATTAGGATCAAATCAATCAAAATATGGTATTTTTAAAACACCATGTCAATCATCAATACTTGGTTGGGAACCCCTTTGCCTTAATCACTGCCTCAATGTTCCGTGGCATTGATGCAATCAGCCTGTGGCATTGCATAGGAGCTATGAAAGCCAAGGTTTCCTTAATGTTTAATGTCAGCTGTTTTTAGTTTTTGGATCTGGTGCCCCTCATTTTCCTCTTCATAATACCCCATAGACTTTTAATGGGGTTTAGGTCCGGCGAGTTGGCTGGCCAGTCAAGCACTGTGATTCTAGCGGTATGGGCAGGGGCCAGGTCTTGCTGGAAGATAAAATTTGCATCTCCATACAGATTCTCAGCAGAAGGAATCGTAAAGTCCTCTAAAACATTCTGGTAGACTGTTGCGGTGACCTTGGATTTAAGAAAGCAGAGTTTACCAACACCTGCACTGGACATTGCAGGTGTTGGTAAATCATGACTGACTGTGGATATTTCACACTGGACCTCAAGCAGCTTGAATTCTGATCCTCACCCGTCTTCCTTCAAACCCTTGGACCTTGATTCCCGAATGAAAGGCACACTTTACTTTCATCAGAAAAGAGGACCGTGGACTACTGGCCAACAGTCCAATCCTTCTTCCCCCTGGCCCAGTTGAGACGCTTCCTACGTTGGCTCAGGCTCAGATGTGGCTTGACCCGAGGAACCCAACAATTATAGTGCATCTTTTGGATGTGTCTGAATGTGGTGGTTTTTGAAGTTGTGACTCCACTCTTTCTGGATCTCTGCCAGATTCTTGAATTTTCTGTTTGATAATCCACTGAAGCCCACAGTCATTTCTTTTGCTGGTGCATCTTCTCCTGTCATATTTTGCCATTCCACTAGAAATCTGGGTTTCCATAGCTCCTAGGCAATGCCACAGGCTGATTGCATCAATGCCATGGCGCATCTACGCAGTGATTACAGCAAAAGGATTCCTTTGTATTCCAAAGTATTGAAGATTGACATATCATTTTGAAAATACCATCTTTTGATTGATTTGATGTAATCCTTATTTCTTTCTGCAAAAACTGAGAAGTGAATGTTGATTTCTCCACAGTATTCTAATTCTTGGAATTCCTGTTTTCGTGGGTTTCATGAGCTGGAAGCCCAAATTATGTAAAAATATACAAATAAATTCTTGAAAATGTTTAAATTGAGGGCCATGACCTATAATATATAAGTTTAACTTTTTGAATGGAATTATGGAAATAAATAACCTTTTCTATGATATTCTAATTTTTTGGAAAGGGTCTGTATATAGCTAGAGCATTGACTATCATACCTTGCCATGACCAATGAGCTGGACAAGATACAGATAATTTATCTGAGATGTTGAGAGATTGTAGGCTTCACCCAGTTTCAGAGCATCCCCCAAAGACATTGGCAATTCTTGCTTCAGGATGTATCTAATCAGTGTCTAAGGAAAAGGCCACATCTTCAGAAATTGTTCAGGAAAAAAAAAAGAGAAGAAATTTACCCATGTTGCACGTACCATAATCTTACTGCTGTCAGACAGGTTGAAGCTGCGGATTCCATAGCCCCGGAGTAGTTTCCTTACTTCCATCAGATGATAGCTTTCCTTCAAAAGCTCTTGTCTACAAAGAAGGTCCTGAAGCCAGTTAGCAACATATTTTTAACAAAATGTAAAATAATATTTATATATACATATATATATAAAAATGTACTTTGGTCCATCCATCTCAAGGTACTGCTGCACCAGGTTTTCCACCGCATTACTCCAAGGTACCACAGCTTTCTGCATGATCTCTAGGACAGCGTCCACCATCAGCTGCCAGGAAACAAAAGTAAATGTTGGATTTCACAACTTTCTTTTTTTTCCAAATTCTTCAAAGATTTTTCTGATATTCTTCACTTGAACTGTTACTTATTAACCCATTAATGGAACCTACATCCATATCCGTCATGCTGCCCAGTACAGCCACTGCTTTGGCCTCCCATTCAGCAAAAAGTGTAGTGGTCTGATAGCTGCAGTGCTGCAGTAGATCCTAAGGAAATTATTAAATGATTTAAAAAAATGACAGCAGGAAAAAGAAAACAAATTATATGCGAGGCTCAATTCAAAGATTTTTAACCTTGATATACTGTAGCAGCAGTTCATCCAGAAAAATGTCATGGTCTTCAGCATAGGGTAGGATGCTGTTCTCCACTGTTGCAGCAATGAGCTCAGGTGCTTTCACTTTGTCCAGCATGGAGATTGCAATGCTGCGGATATTCCCCTTTTATTAAACAAATAAGCACAAAAAGTAGTATCATTCCATTGATCCTTTGTTTTATACTGACATCTAGAGACACAAGTGCGTTACTTGTGTCTCACCTGATTCATTGCTTTGTTCTTCTAGCTGAGCAAAACAAAAAATCCTTCCTTGAATTTGTAAAGGTGTTTAACAATAACTAAAAACAAACCTTCTCAAAGTCTGACAGTTTAATCCTGCAGCCATATTTATGGAGGAGGTCCAGCAGCTGACGGAGGTTAGACACCAGTGACCTGAGGTTTTCGATGTCTTCTGTGCCATAGCTTTCATCCTTAATAAATATGCACAACAATGATACACTTTTTTGATAATATATGGTCAACATCTTTTTTGAGCTTTCAGCAGTATCATTTAATACATTTTCAGGACTATAAGTTGCTCCGCAGTATAAGTCGCACATACCAAAAGAATGCATAATGATGAAAAAACAAAACAAAAACATATATAAGTCGCATTAGTGCCCTGTACCGGTTGTCAGTGTGAAAATAACGTGAAATTATATATTCTAATATATAAGTCTGACCTGAATATAAGTCGCAACCCCAGCCAAAGGATAAAAAGAACCTATAGTCAACTAATAGTCTGGAAAATATGGTACACACCTGGGTGAAGAAAGAGAAAAGAGCGGACAACTTACTGATTTTTTCCACGTCCATAAAGAAGGCAGACCGAGAACAGCCAAGTCCAGCCCATTCTGAGGCCAAGCAGCCTGTAAAATGTCATATTAGCTGTTTTCTGTATTGTCACAGGTTTAAGAGATTTGCCCTATGTACAGATGCCATTAATGATAAGCTTTGTTGGTCATTGTTAACATATAGATGTGTATACACACTCATTAACACACAGAATGAGAAGAATTTTAGTGTTTACATGACACAGCTAACTGGGGTGAGTTTAGAGCCTGTGATCTTCTTAACAAGACCAATCCAAAACCACTGGCTGCCCTCATAGCATTTCCATGTTTTCAATTACTCCTATTGTTACTATGATTTTAGTTTTTTGGTGTTCATGTTTTACAATATATTCAGATTTTTACTTAACTATAAATATATTTATATGAGTTTACCCTTTCCATCAGCTCCAAGTTCCTGGCCCTCTGCGCTATCCATCTTGCTAGGATTTTCTATGGCCGCAAACAGATCCAACTTTAATTACTGAAAGCTAAGCAGCACAACATGATGAAAATGTCATCACTCAGAATATTCCCCACCTGTTCTGTAGGTAGCACTCTCCTCACAAAAGGAACAAAAACTCTCCCAAACCATGGGCACAGGTGTTCGGATGGGACATCCTCCGGAATAGCACAAAGAAGGGTTTCCAGTTTTTGCTTGTCAAACTCTGATGCAATTTCTCCCTGTCAAAACAACAGAGTACAAAAAAATATAAACTGGTATCAATCAGAGGATGTTGCCGATTTGGCTTTTGCCATAGCCGAGTTGGAAGTTTTTGTTGTTTGTTACCTCAAATCTGAGCCAAAGGAGTTGAGCACCATTAAGGTCTCCCTCTCTAAGGTAAGTCAGAACATCTCCTAGTCTGTCAGTACTGTTTAGAAATTCAATCCAGGCAATGCTACTACAGATGACAAAGATGTATGAATTGTGAGTGAACAGAATCAGTATACATCAATGGATGTTAGGTTGTAACTTCTAAAAGATGCCTACTCAACTTACTTGAAATGCTCTGTGCTATAAAGGCTACAGAATGTTGCCAGTCTGGCCAAGGCCTCATGGATCTGTAGGGAGGAGTACTGTGAGGCAGCGTGGTTAAGCATTGTCTCTGCTGTGTCAAAGGTTGGCCACGGAGCTTTGAGGCAGTATTCAACTATGTACTGCTCATCCTAAATCACACAAACATAACTTCAATTAGTGAAATTTGGTCATGTTGAATAAGCACTAGCAGGTAGACAATTAATCCACATCTGAGTAAGCCAAATCACTTAAATAGCATTATTTGACTCACTGTGATTTTCTTCAGGTTCGTCTTGGCTTCATCCACAAGTTCAGACCACAGTTCCTGTCCATAACCACCCACTGATCCAGAGGCCAGCTGCTCCAGCACAAAGTCAAGCTTTACCTTGTAAACCAGCTAAAAACAGGACAGTAAGTTGTGTTTTGTCTGAAGCAACATGTAAATATTTTTTTGAGATCACATTTATATAACAAATGAATAACAAACGTAGTTCATTAAAGCCACATAAAGTAAAGGTGATAATTACAGACACTGACCTCCAAGTCCAGGTCAAATGTGATGGCAAACTTCTCAGCCTCTTCAAACATGCGTTTGTGCAGGAGTCTGCTGAATCTGGGAATAACTGAACCTCGTTAGCACTGTAGTTATTCAGTATAGCACAACAACAATACTTCTTTAATTAAGTCCTTTATTCATCCCACAATGGAGATATATACAATTCATAAGCAGGTACCTGTTTTCAGGCAGGGCCTCTGTGAAGCATCTTACAACAACAGACATGTCCTGCGCCTCACTGTTCAAAACAAAAAAGGCAAAAAAAAGTTAAATTTTTGACGTGAAAGTAGGTTAAGTTATAATATATTATCAAAAAGGTAAAAACAAAAAAAAAAATCTTCCTACCTTTCATGGTTCAGACAAATCCCTTCAACTAAATAGAATGTGTCCTAAAACAACAAGAAAAACCCCCCACACCATTCCTAAATATGCAGCAATATAAACACTAAAAACAAATATATGAATATTACAATGTAACTCAATGTGTTGTCACCACGTTTAGTTGTGTCTGAACAAGACAAGACACCGATGATACATCCAGAGAGTAGCAAAGAGTCATGGAGGGCAAAAGTCGGATTTGCAGTCTGCTGATCTAAAATAAAAATTAAATGTAAAGCAAAGTTAGGTTCTCTGTTCATAGAATCTCCTCAATAACCTGCTAAACTTTCTGTAGAATAATTTGAACCTGACTGCTGTCCTTTTTACTCAGTGCAATCATCTTCATGTTGCCCGTGTCCTGTCTGTAAAACACAAATGCTGCTGCATGAAGAGATTGCCGTTTCAAAGAGGCATGTATTATTATTTGGTAATTAAATATATGTTTCATGGGCCAACCTGGAGGTGGAGCCACATTCTGTTGCGAGCACAAAATCATGGATGGCCATATCAGGCCAACAGGCAATCATGACCAGGAGATGCATATCCCACAGACTTAGAACATCCTGAGAAAATTAGATGACAAAATAATCTACTCATACGGGAAACCTTTTAGACCACATGTCTGAAAATATTTCAAATACCTCCACTATGTCCAAAATTAAAATCTAGCAGCACTGGGCACAAACTAAATGATTTGTTTAAAATAAGATTCATTTTCTTTTATCAGGAAAAGCCTGTCACCTGCAACCAATCAGCATGGAGGCAAGTCAAAATGTTCTAAGACGAATTGAAACTTGAACTGTTTATAAAAACAAAAAATAAAGATAAAGATAGATATTAAAGATAAGATAAAAAAGAACTTCCGTATTTCTCTACATTCCCTTAATTTAAGTTTCACCTTAAGTTTCACTAGGTGACCAAAATCAACTTCCTGTTGTTTAAGGACAACTGCCATGGATTGATATCATTGCTCAGAACTCACCTCTGTGTCAAGAACATACAAGAGATTTTCCGCCACCACCATCTTTCTTACACCTTGGAAGTAACCAGAGGATTGGTCAACACATCATCTTAATGACTTTCACATCAACACAGGGGTCATACATACATACATGAATGTCCAAAAAGGGACATCTACAAATAAGAGAAAACTATAGCAATGACAATGGTGGGCATCTCTTTAAATAGGTGAAGTATTTAGCCTCAGAACATCAAGTAAACAAACCCCACCTGGAATTAGGCTTCTGTCAACAGAATGAACCAGACACATCTTAGCCTGATGGTGGTCCACTGACCACTGAGTTATAGCATTGTCTTTGTCCCCCTGAGAAGAAAAACCATCATATACTTTTTTAAGTTACATCTTCACTGCATGTGGTTGGTTTGAGATGCCCAATTACAACATATTTTCACACAGCAGTGAGGCACAACTGTCAGTGCAATAAAAGTTAATGTAATTTTAGCTGTAGAGTATTTAAATTTTTCAGATGACATTTCTACAATTCCGTAAGGAAGCTTTTATTTATATTTTAATCAGGTTACTCAAATAAATTAAACTGTTTCTTAAAAAACATTTTTTTAAAAATAGCAAAACCACCCTTTATTATTCAGGGTATTACAAGCTTTAGTCCTCTTCATGTTTTCAATGACAATTAAAAATGTATTCAAGCGTTCAGTCCAGTTCATAAATACTATTTAAAATTCTGCCATAAATACTGACCCCAATCAATACGTAGATTTCCTGGTCCAGGCAGAACATCACTGCTGTGCTGCAGCCTTCATCATGGTAATCCTTGGTGGAGTAGAAATCTATCTTGATGAGATTCTGAAGCTACATGAAGAATATGGAAGGTAAAAGTTAAAATTGATTTGCCGATATGGGTATATTAAGATAATTAGAATACAACTTTAACACACCTCTGTCAACATGCACAGGTCCATTTTTTCAATGGCTGGAAAAAAAAAGTTAAATTAATGAAACTCCAAGGAGTGTTGATGTTGACCTGTTGATGGTTTTTCATACCTGTTTCAATCTTTGCCAAAGCAAGGTTTGTAATGTGAAAAAAACCATCATTAATGACAAGAAGCACATGATACATCCCTGTAACACAGAATTAACATAATTAATAATTTTAATTGTATACAGTGGAGATTTAAAGTTTGGGCACCACAGGTAAAACATTGTATTAATGTGCATAAAGAAGCCAAGGAAAGATGGAAGTGTCTCCAAAACGCATCAGGTTACAGATGAGACTATTATAATATGTCAAAAAAAGTTAGACTTTATTTCCATCATTTACACTTTCAAAATAACAGAAAACAAAATAATGGCATCTGCAAACATTTGGGCACCCTGCAGGTAATACCTTGTACTGCCCCCTTTGGCAACTATCACAGCTTGTAAAGGCTTTTTGTAGCCAGCCAAGAGTCTTTCAAATCTTGTTTGAGGGATCTTCACCCATTTTTTCTTACAAAAGTCTTCAAATTCTTTGAGAAAAATTTGCTGAAATTTTATTGAATTTTCCATTTTTTCCTTGTACTTTTACCATCCTCATCTTTTCATTAAATTCTGTGTCCTTTCTTCTCCAAACATACCTATGCTCATTCCGGCCAAAAAGTTCTATTTAAACCTCATTGGTCCACAGAACTTATTTCCAGAATACATCAGGCTTGTCTACATGTTCATTTGCGAACTTCAAATGCTGATTTTTGTGGTGAGGACTTAGGAGAGGTTTTCTTCTGGTGACTCTTCCTTGAAGACCATATTTGTACAAGAATGTCTTTATAGTGGAATAGTGTACCACAACTCCAGTGGAGGGATCGTGCAGTCAAACGTGGGTTTTGACTTGCTTTTCTCACAATCCTGTGAGCTGTTCTGTCTTGCTTTAACTTCCACTGTTCCTGATGACTGCCATTTCTTAATTACATTCGGAACAGAGGATATTGGCATCTGAAAATGCTTTGCTGTTTTCTTATAGCCTTCTCCTGTTTTATGAGCGTCAACTATTTTCAGTTTCAGTGTTCTAGACAACTGCTTAGAAGAACCCATGGTGCTGATTGTTAGGGCAAGGTCAGATGAGTCTGGGCATTTAAATTTTATATCACCTGGTCTTTCCAGACAATGACTGTGACCAATCCATGACACTGTCAGGTCTCAGCTTTCCAAAGGGGGCGGTGCATGCTATAAACTCTGCCTGTGCCCAAACGTTTGCAGATGCCATTATTTTGTTTTCTGTTATTTTGAAAGTGTAAATGATGGAAATAAAATCTAACTTTTTTTGACATACAGGAATGTCTCATCTGTAATTTGATACCTTTAGGAGATGTATGCATATTTCCTTGGCTTCTTGATGCACATTAATACAAACTTTTACCTGGGGTGCCAAAACTTTTGATTCCCATTGTAAATATTTTGATATTGACAGATAAAACATTTTAAACATTTAAGCACCATAAAGCAAGTTCACCTAAAGATGCCTTGTCCTCTTCGATGATGAGATATAAATATGTTTTCTTGTCTCTATGAGATGGCTTCTCGACCAAAGTCTAAAATACACCACAAAGACACAATATAAAACATGTAAAACCTTTGACAGCTAAAAGATTACATTACTTTTACTGCATTACTAACGAATTATGTAAACCTTTTTATACACTATGAAGTGTTGTTTATAAATAAATAAAAAACAGAGGAAACATTAGGATAATAAAGTGCAATATTGCTCTAGCACATCTTATAAAACATTTCATACAAATGCATACCCTGGTGAGAAGGATTGTTTTCTGTGGGACATAGATCAGATGAAGATTTCCATTTCCTTCACACACCAACAGAAACTGTCCATCCAGACAAATGCCAATAGCATTTACATCAGTTTCTGCAAAAGGAGATTTAAGTGGATTACTAAGGACGATCTAAAGGAGGAATTTTGTAGAACGTTACAACTTTCTAATATTATTTATATTGTGTGTGTTAAAGTAGATACAGGAATGTGCAGTAATTGAATCTGCAGCAACTAAGTGGATATGTATGTGGATCAAAATTCGTCATAAACATTTAAATTATTCTTACGTATTATAAGTAAGTGCACGGTGACTGTACAGTGATTCGGTTGACCTAAAGAGGAAAGTAAGTAACGTGTCCATACCAAAATGAAGAAGCAGACGGACACTCTGGTAGGTCTGGTCAAATAGGATAACCGTCTTGTCAACAACAACGACGCTCCAGTTGGAACCACCAGAGGAGGAGAAACGAGGGCCTCTTAGAACCTGCAGGAAACAATCACCACCACCATCCTCATCATCCTGTCAATCACCTCAACTCTGCGGTCATATACAAAAATCAGGGCTATGTGTCAAATATGGACGTCAACATTTACCTCATCAGCGGTGGAAATTTTGACAAGAGTGTCCACCTGATACAAGCCGTTGCCGCTGTCCTCTTTAGGGTCACTGCTCAAATACTTCAGATTGTTGGTGTCCTCACTTGACAGGAGTTCGACGTCGCTCCACGTCGCCATTTCGAAAACCTTTGACGGACAAAATTAAGACTATTTAAATTTTCAAGCGACAGTTTACTGTTGAATTATGTCTTGAAAAGTAGAGTACGATCAGACGACGAAACTACACGACACGGCATTTGTGTTTTATCTTCTAATTTTGGCGGGTTAAGGGGACTAAGGGAGAAATTCTTCGCCCAGAACTTTGTCTTGCAGTCGCAACTTCCGCCTTAGATCTCGTCTCACATTCGGTTTAATTCGTAAAAGTAAATAGAAATATACACCAAGTCCATGATATAATTTCATAATATTCATTTGTCATTAAAAACAAACACAATTTCCTTTTTTTTTTAGAATCACCCCCAATCTTAATGTAGCTGGTGTCTGAGAGACGTAACTCGGGAGGTTAAGAACATGTGAAAAGTGCCATAAAACAATTTTTAGGGGCGCACCATAAAGTTTCAAGTACTCCATACTTACAGATACGTAAAAAAGAGTTTATTTATTTTCCTATTAATGAAGCATGTAGTTCTCCAATATATCTAAATGAAAATTATAAACAAAATTAATTAACATTTTCGTATTTTTTTAAATCGTCAGTTAAGGCCACTTTTATAATATTACCAGATTAACTGCAGCGGTCGTATTACGGTACTTTGTAGTGGTGGGCGGATCGATCCAGATATCTATAGTATCGATACCAAGTTTGTATCGGATCGATACTAGACTGGTGAGATCGATTCTTTACTTTAACTTCCGCTCTTGTTTGCAATGCTGCGGTTTCGGCAAGAGGAAACAGCCAAGTCGCCGAACTCGCCGCTCCGCACATTTTACTTCAATGATGCATCTACCTTATTTATTTTAAAAAGTATCGGATCGGTATCGTCGATACCGGCCCCATATTTACTTGGTATCGAATCGATACCAAAACATGCAGTATCGCACACCACTAGTACTTTGTCACTTGACTTCGTCGATCCAATAGGTGGCGATAGTAGTCATTTCTCGTACTTGCCAACCAAGCTATACAGTAGAAGATGAGCAGAAACCTCTTGTCGTCTGAAACAGTAGCTCTTTGGTTTTCCTTAAGCGTCTAAACATTGTGGATTTGCGGAATTATTTAACCACAGAGCCCTCTGAATTCATCCAGTAAGTATTAGTGTGTAAATGCCACCAAATTCATGTTATTTGTCTTGTACATACGCGTTGTTTATGTCAGTTTACAGTATGATTCGGTTATCATAATCTAACAAAGATGGCGGTGCGCTTCTCTTAGATTCGTAACCTAGCTTACGCTAAATTTTTGGACTGACCTTTTTTAAGCAAAACTTTGGCCAGACGGGAAGATTTTGTTAGTAATGTTGGTGTCTTTATATTCCGCTTTACTTCTCGATGACGTCTCGAATGCTTAGTAATTGTTTATATGGAGCCATTGCTTCGATTAAGGACGGCGTAAAGAGTGAATTCAAACCGTAGGCATTTGTTAACCAGTCAAAGACTAAATAGCAGATATATTTGTTTGATGTTTCGCTATATACATGCAAGATGACTAATCCAAACGTGTTATGAATGTAACGAATGCAAGCGTGTCCGACGGAAATTACATATTTTATAAAATTAGCATAACTGATGAATACAATACTGTTATTACTAATCGATTAGAAATCAACTATATTTTAGGTTAAATGTTTAGTTGTCAATAATACTGAATCCATATGCTAAACCGATTACCTGTTACTAATTTTATTTTCAGACAAGTGATGACTTAGTTGACCTGACAAGCTCAAGCTCTTCTGTTTACCACATAAAGGCAGCATGGAGTCCTCAAGATCTCCCAGAAGCTCAAAACATCACCATTCACGATCAAGATCACACTCCAGGGATCGTAAACGTTAGTATTGTCTAATACATGAGAAAACATGTGCGCTGGATAATGTCTCAGTGTATTTGTGTTTACATCTGTGTTATATGGATTTTTAGAAAAACATAGTTCTCCGTTTAAACAGGTAATTTGCTTGTAATTACAAGTAATTTGTTGTAATATTATTTTAAATTATGGCTATTTGTTTTCTCCCAGGTGACAGAAAACACAGACGAAGTCAAAGCAGGAGTAAAGAGGTAAATTATCAATTAAATGTTATGATTTAAAAACACTTCTTAGTTATTTTTAGGGTCACTCTTTGTTAATTTAAAGACAAGGTGAGTGTATTATATACATTATGATATGTAACCCAAGTTAAGAATTACAAAAGCACACAGATTGTTGACTCATGTGGAACAGGGTATTTTGTAACCCGGCAATTCTAAGATGCGTGCAATTATTTATAACAAGATCAAATGATAAAGAGTAGCTTTATTTTATTTTTGTAACACCTTGTGCATAGATCACATGATAACATTTCTACAATAAATTATACTCAGCGTGCTAATGCACGAAGAGACTGAACAGAAGACCCTGCTGACATAGCAAAATAATATGCCTACTACGGGGACAGGTAACTATCTGCAATTTAAACTCCTACTTGTTTACCACTTCCGTGAGAATTTGGAATAAACTCTTGCATCTCTTGAAGTAAGGATTGGCACAATTATTTTTATAGTTATAATAAATCAAAATGTTTTTTGTTTTTTTTTTGTTTTGTTTTTTTTTTAGTTTCTAAAATGTTTTGAATTAAATGTGGAAAAGCTAATAAATCTTTGTAACCACTGTCCAAACACCATGAGGTGTAGCAGTAAAACTGACTGTAAATAAAAGGTATTAAGCTTAAAGTATTTTGGTAAAATGTTTTTACATTCAGGGATTTGCATTCTTGCTATTAAGAGATGCAAGAAGTTTCATATATGCTGGTTATGATTCAGTTAATTTTTGTCAATTTCTCATACATTTGTTTTATGACAATGATATTGTATGTGTATGATATTGGTATTTGTTACTGAAGTGACCGTCTGACTGTTGACTGTCAGAATTTTACTACGTACCGTCTATCAGCCTTGGTACTAACTCTTTTTGTTGCACTATTTTCCTGAAAGAGACAACTTCTTCTTAATACAGGCACGAAGGAGGGACTTGGAGAAGCCACCAAAATCACACAAACGAATAGAGGAGCAGCAAGAGCAAGAGAGACTTTTAGCAGAGAATGGAGAGGAGCGATCCAGGCGTAAAGATAGGAGACCCTCCAAGGGCAGGAGCTTGTCAAGGTCACACTCACGGGAGAGGTAAGTGGGGTTTTTTTTATCATTAAGCCAGATAAACACTGCCATGCTGTACATATAAACTGATCTTGTGACTTTATAGGCGGCATCACAGTCGAAGCAGGGAGAAAAGACGTTCACGTAGCAGAGACAAAAAGAAAAAGGCACGGTCACGCTCAGGTTCGAGGGCCAAACGCCGTCATCACAGCAGAAGCCGCAGCAAAAGCAGGTAGATGTGTTTGAAAATGCAGATTATGTTATTACGTTTTAATCTCTTAAAACAATTGTTTTTTCATCTAGTTTCTCTTTTAAATGTTTGCTCAAACAGAGAGCGTAAGAAAAGGATTGAAAAAGTACGACGAAAGAGTCGAAGTCGGACTGCAAGTCCACCTGTTTTCCGGGGCCGTAACACAGCTATGGATGCCCAGGAGGCTCTGGCCAGAAGGTAATGTCTCCTGTATTGACATATACACTACCGGTCAAAAGTTTTAGAACACCCTAATTTTTCCAGTTATTTATTGCAATTCAAGTTGTGCAAGTCCAACGAATTGCTTGAAATGATACATAGGTAAGTACTGAACAGCCAGAGGTTAAAAAAAGGCAATTTTCAGGGGAAAGCTATGAAAGTTGAATCATAATTCTTGCAAATGTCCCAACCTTTCTGGATTACTTACAACCCCCTTTGTCTGAATAAAAGCAGTGTTGGAAACCACTGTGGTACCAAACTCTCATGAGCATCAGGTGAACAGCATTGTACTGCAGAAAGTAGTGTGCTGCTACAAAAATGGCGAGAAAAGGGCAATTAACAATGGAAGAGAGACAGACCATCATAACACTAATATATATACACAAAAATAAACGTCTTTCCTACAAATTTTAAAGAAAGTCAAGGTGTCAGTGAGTACAGTTTTCTTCACCATCAAAAGGCACTCAGAAACTGGGGAAAACTCTGACAGGAAGTGGTCTGGCAGACCAAAAGCCACAACTGAATCAAAGGACAAGTCTCTGAGCGTTAACAGCTTGCGTGATAGGTGGCTCAGAACAACAGCTTAAAAGTGGTCGTAGTAGGCAAGTCTCAGTTTCAACTGTGGGGAGATGACTTGGAGCTGCAGGTTTGACAGGATGAGTTGCAGCAAGAAAGCAGAGCCAAAGAGGCTCTGCTGAGCCACAAAACACTGCCATTGGACTTCAAATTTTGGTTCATCACGCAGGATCTTTGTACGCCATCGAGTAGGCGAGAGGAAGGTTCCACAGTGTGTGACATCAACTATCAAACATGGAGGAGGAAGTGTGATGGTCTGGGGCTGTTTTGCTGGATCCAGGGTCGGTGACTTCTGCAGCGCCATGCAATACCCTCTGGTATGGGCCTAGTTGGTCAGAGGTTCATCCTACAGCAAGATGATGACCCAAAACACAAGTCCAAGCTATGCCAAAAGTACCTCAGGAAAAAGAACAAGGTGATAAGCTTGAAAACATGGAAGAACCAGCACAGTCTCCAGACTTAAACCCCATGAAGCTGGTTTGGGATAAACTGGACAGCAAAGTGAAAGCCAAGCAACCTACAACAGCCACACATTTATGGGAACTTCTGCAACAGACATGGGAAGAACTTTCTGAAGAATATTTGATTTCTATTGTAGGAGAAATGCCATGAGTGTGTTCAGTTGTTATATCTGCCAAAGGTGGCTATTCTAAAGTTTAGAATACATTTTGGTCTATAAATAGATTTCATTTTTAACTCAAATTGCATCTTTGTTCTATGCCTTAATTTCAGAGTGCAATGACACAATAAACTAATCATTTTCAGTGAAAAACTGAAAAAAAAACAGTAGTGTGTTTACTGTTATTCCTAAAATTGTGACTACCTAGTTTCCTTTGTTTTAAATACGTTTAACCTGTGAAGTAAAATACATGATCTCAATTCAGACTGGAGAGAGCAAAGAAACTCCAGGAGCAGAAGGAGAAAGAAATGTTTGAGAAACAACAGCAACAGGAGATAGCTGCTGGTAAGAAGCACCTAATTACTGCAAACTCTCTAAGAGCTTGACTCATTTGTCAGTTCCTTCATTTTTTGTCTTTTTCTCCCAGTTGCAGCCCCTATTGCTGCTGCAGCTGCCACAAACCCTGCCCTCAATGTTGCGGCCCTCTTGGCCTCTGGGACACAGGTGACACCTCAGATTGCCATGGCAGCACAAATGGCAGCTCTCCAAGCAAAGACACTAGCAGAGACTGGTATCGCTGTGCCCAGTTACTACAACCCATCTGCGGTAAACCCCATGAAATTTGCCGAGCAGGAGAAAAAAAGAAAACTACTTTGGCAAGGAAAGAAAGAAGGGGTATGATACAATTTTTGTGGGTTTATCCACTACTGCAATGCAGGCTTAGCATGTGCAAATATCTGATAAATAGTGACCAGAAAAATAATTGATTAATTGTGTCAATACCAATGTTAATTCTTTTTTTCAGGACAAATCCCAGACGGCTGAACTGTGGGAGAAACTAAACTTTGGAAACAAGGACCAAAATGTTAAATTTCGCAAATTAATGGGTATCAAAGTGAGTATATTTGCATTTTTGATTACCCCAGAAAAATCCTACATTGCTTTCACCACTAATCAAGAGTCACTGTCTGAACAGGGAGAGGACGATGAAGCTGAGGTTTCTAAACCACTGAATGATGATGGGATAAAAACACTTCAAAAGCAGGAGGAGATGTTTAGGAACCTGGACGTTCAGTATGAGATGGCTCGTTCTCAGACTCACACCCAGAGGGGAATGGGCCTCGGCTTCTCTTCCTCATTCTCACGTGGAATGGATTCAGTTTAGTGCCAAAGCTTGAATGTCAGAATCATGTGACATAGGACAACCAGTTCAACACTAGTTCTGAAGCTTGCATGAATCTTGCTCTGACTCTGTAATTTATTTATAGACACATTTCACATACTGGGACATTGATAATCGCTGAGTTTATCTCAGTGATGAATGAACTGTTTGTCTTCAAAAGGCACAATGTCAGTGACTGATGCTGTTTAGATCTTGGTTTTAAATGTTATAGTTTTTTTTAACAAATATATTAATTTGTGTTTGAACATAAACTGATGTGGTTCAAGTGAACACTGTTTACAACCATTTAGCAAAATGTGTCTGAGGTCAATGTCATAACCAGAGTGCTGAAGTCATTCTTCTGGCTGTGACTGCCACTGATCATAGAGTACCTGTTCAGGGAGTCATTTGAACTAGGGAAAGTAATTGCTTACATCAAATGTTTAAATAAATTAGTTTTGTGTTTAACACCGTTTCAGACTTCTTCTCAATGTGATTTTTTACATTTCAATCTCATAAAGTTTCTACTGTGGTAATATAACCACAACCAGGTTTTAATTGTTATTTTGCTGGTTTTTGAAGATTGCTTCAAATACTATTTTCATTTCCTGAGCTGGAGGCAGTAGTAGTTAGTGCACTTGCCTTACAATAGGAAGTTCATTCTTTGCCAGGTTTGTCTTTTCGTTTCTTGATATCATTTGCATGTTTCCCATGTGGGCATGGTTTTTCTTTAGTCACAAAAATATACAGATTTGACATTAGGCAAACTGACCCGGGTGTGAGAGTGAAAGGTTGTCTCTATGTGACCCTACAGTTGTCTAGCAAACTGTTCAGGACATACCCTGCCTCAATCAGCTGTCTAAAGTGATTGGTTCCATAGCTTGTTTTTCAAAATGTTTAATGCATACCTTCCATGAAAGAAATTGTCTTTCAGGGAAGGCATGCATTAAACATTTAGGTGCCTTAAAACACCCTGTGGCACCAAGGGTCCTGATGATTAAAAGTGCCTAAAAATACTAGAACTCTCAACCAGCTCTTAGTTGCTACTACTGAATGACTTTGCAATCGAATGGTCTGTGCAAAGATGCACAGTTGTCTAATTGCAATGCCAATGTGGCCTTTATTTACATATAAGACTTGAGTATAGCACATGAGCAACACCAGTGATGAGATTGTGGTTAGCAAACTCCAGGATGAGGAGCAGGATTGGGCATTCGCTACGTCTCTTATCCATAGCGGATTCCTTACTCAGTCCCATCCAATGAAGCAGTAGTGTTTGCATGGCTTCTGGGAAAAGTTCTGTAACAAGCTCGTCAGCAGGTGGTAGGTCACTTATTCTCTCAATGTGTTGAACTTTAAAGCTCTCCACCTTCTGGCTTATACTGCTGTTGGCTGCATGAAACTCCTGGCCCAGCCACTGTCCCAAAGAACTGTGCAGGGAACCTGAATACAGTGAGCCCCAGTCTCTGGCCTGAAGCAGGGCCAACACACTTTGTGTCACATCCTTTTCATCCAAATTTCCATTCAAGTACTTATTTAAGGTTTCCAATAACAGAAGCACATTTCCAAGTTTCTCAAAGTGGGACTGCGTGTCTGAAGAAAGGATATCATCCAAGCGTTGCATTTTTTGTTTCACATAGAATAAAACTAGACTTAAACTCTGGTTGGAAAAAGAACAATAGTCATGATCTGCTGACCCATCACTGATGTCGCTGCTATTTATGACTATCAACTCCTCGTTAATGTGGCTATGCTGAGGTTGTGATATTTCATTCCCTGCTTCTGCACCACACATATTGTTGGGCACAGCCAAGTCCAGCTGCCTGCTGAGGATGTACGTCATGTTCAGAGAGCTGTCGTTGATTTGTGTTTTCCAAATTTCCTAAAATGAAAAGAATATCAAGATCATTGCAATACACATTAAGGTAAAGTTATGTATTTTTAGCAGATATATCTAAACGTACACAAAAATACTACCTGGAAAGTCTCAAGCACGGCAAGCTGCTCTTGTCTACTGTATAATTCAAAAGCTACTCGAAAAAGTCCTTGAATGCTATAGAACCAAAGGCTGTTGTTTGCAGTGGGAACCTTCAATCCATAAAACCTGAATTCTGGAAGCAAACATTGAAGTGATTGTTAGCCTGTTATCAACAGTGGTATAAATATATCTCAGGGCACAATGCTCGTGAGGAAGAAAAGAAGAACAAACAGGCTGCCATGCCATGTATGCATCTTATCGTTTTGTGCAAACATTGTACCAGATGAAAATTGGATTTTTGTAGCCAGTCCTTTCTTTGCAAACTTTGCATGGTATCTTGGATGGTTCTCTGTACGGACATCAGTGCTGGACAATACGTCAGCTCCTAAAAAAAGGGGAATCATTTGAGCCTGAAAAAAAAGAGACAAAATTTTGATCCATGGCACTAAAACAATAATTAATTTTTTTTTTTTTTTTTTAAGACAGATAACGTACTGATAAACAGGGCAGTGGTGACTTTGGTGATGGGTTAAAAGGAGAGGTCACATTTCGTTGTGTGCAGTGGTGTGCTGTGTCACTATGACAAGGAGTTCACTTTCCACCTACTTTCCTGCCTAGTTTTTATGGCTTTTTAACACATTATGAATTCCTAATACTATAATCACATTACGATAGTAAATGGCTATTAATTTGTTCAAGTAGTTATGATATCGTTGCAAAACAAGGAAGAGGATGTTGTATGTAACAATATATATTACTTGTTTCAATGCCTGGGGTTCTTTCATGTGTAATCGAGATGGTCAGCTCACCTTGTGTGGACACGCTGTAAGTCTGAACGACGTCAAATTGACCAAGTACATAAAGCGGATTTTCCGTGAGCCTACGTCCCACTGTGGCAGAGATAAGTGGATAGGAGAACAAAGAGACATTGCTGGACCAAAAATATACTTTGCACAATTGATTCTGGTGGTACAAGAACCCTGAACGATCTGCCCGAACCACAACAATAAAGAAGACGTACACGTTGTACGACCACAACAAACGGCATAAAAAATACACTTGAGAATAAGGGTTCCTCCACAAGGTCTTACAGGTCAAAGAAGCAACCACGCCTCTTTGAAAACTTCAAAGGAAAAGGAAAGAATAAACAGTTGCAATTTGATGTACCCAAGTAGCGTATGAATTAAACCATCACCAAAACCATACATTCATATTTACCACTATACATTTGTCTTTATTAAAGACCATGATAAAAATTGGATTGAGTGATTTCTATTGCAGGTTTTGGTTGCAAAATGTTTCATACGTTTTCCGCGATCGAAAGGATGTTTACTCGTTAATGGCAATTAACTATTTCCACATCAGTAAATACATCCAAGCTTATGCTGTAGAGTAGACGGACATTTGCAAATAGAACACATTTTGCGTTAATTAATCCTGTAAAACAAAGTGGAGGGCACTTTTCGTCGACACTTGCGATTACGTTTATGTAATACGTCACAGAATGGAAACCAATGAAAATTTAAGAACAGTACCTTTGACCCCTGAACTCTGTTTTGACTTCAGACTTAAAAATGGCGGACGTTGACTTCGGGGATAAAGAGCTTTTTGAGCAGATCGAAGACTCTGTACCGCAGGTACCGAAGCACATAATCTTTGAAGACGATGAGGAAACTGAGGAGGTGCAGCAGTTGCGGAACAGGCTGGAGGAGTGCGAGGAGTGCATGCAGAGACTCACTGAGGAGAATATCCTTCTGTTTGTGTGCTGTAGCATTGCGGCTACAGCATCAGCTAGCTGGTGGTTTGTTAGCAATCTGTCTCGTTCATTAATTGAAACAGAAGTTTGGAGATGCAGTATTTGTTAGCTTCTTTAACAGAAACCACATAAGGTTTTACGGAGGAAGTTAAGCATCCTGACAAGACCGAGGTGAGGACCTTCATATAAATAAAGATTTTTAAAAAATCGATGATGGATGTATGGATGTTTTTTTTAACTAAACACGTTCTCTCTGACATAACAGCGGCGTCACCATCGCAGATGTCAATATTGACGGCCCACTTCTTCAAATCCTCTACACAAATAACAGCATATCAAAGTAAGTGATATTTGTATTTTTTGTCTGTTGGTTCATGTTTCTATTCGTGTTTAAATTGTCTTTGAATTGTAATTAACTTTATCGCATAAATTTGAGTAATATCGTAAAAGCACACTTACCGGACTAATTGTTTACACAGTAGTTATTTAAATAAAACGACTAATAAGTCTAAAGAGAGATGTTTATTTAATCACAGACAAAAAGCACTTGTAAATTATTTTTGCTTAAATGATGTGTTATAATTATGATAAAATAACAAATGAATTTCCTTACATTAGGCAGTGTCGACAGGAAATTGAAGATGGCATCTGCAATGTCATTTTGAAACAGCAGAAACCAGTCCATGACAAGAAATCCTCTTTTTACATAAAGCCTCAGGTATTTATTCAGAAATTGTTTTTAATAAGTTGTTCTTAAAGGATGGAAAAATATCAAATATTTTTCTTCTTTAAGAATTCATCTTTTTCTTTGGACAAGGATCCCCTAAGCTCATCGTTGAGTAGTGTAAAAGCAACATCAGAAGCTTTTAAAGTGAGTATTTCCCAGTGTGTTCCATGTGGTATCCCAAAGGTTTTCACTACTATATAATATATATAGTATATAAAAAAGAATATATAAAAAATGTAGTATTCTTTTTCTGTTGTAGGTGGTTGGGAGTGTTTTATATTTCAATACTTTCAGTGTTGATAAACTTGGGCAGCCTCTGGCGAATGAAAATCCTCAGATGACAGATGGATGGGAACTTCCAATGTATCTTTAAATTGGCACAGAGTAATTTTTTAAGAGTCCAGCTTTGTTTTTGACAAACTTTATTTAGAGGGGGAAACTGTGGATTTAGTTTGCAATCATTTTGAAAATGAAAGAGATATAAGATAAAAATATCTCACTATATTGAACTGCTCCTTCTGCATATGCAGTATAATTTCCTGAAAGATTGCATAGCTACTCCCAGCATTTCAGCCAAATCATTGGAACAGATGGACAAGAAATGGAATTAAAAGAAAAAAGGTATAGTCTTAATTTCTTTTAAGTTTTAGCTTTTTAAGTAGCTGTGTGGCATGACTCTGTTACTCATCTTTTCATTTCAGAGCCAAGTCCATTTGTTTCAACTGTAGTGACAGCAGTCATCAGCTGAAAGACTGTCCAAAGGTATAGGTGATTAGCTGCTATTTAATGATTAATTTATAATTCTGGGGATACATTTAACACAGCTCAACTTCATCCACTACTCTTTGGTACCATATTATTCTAGCCAAAAGACATGGCTGTCATAATGGAAAGGAGAAAGGAGTTTCTGCAAAACAACCAGGCTGCACAGAATAATCAACGATACCATGCTGATGAAGTGGAAGAACGATTTGCTAGATACAAGCCTGGAGTACTGAGGCAGGAGCAATAACATTAGACATAACATAGAAATAACATTTCTGTAAGATACAATGATGTTTGGTTTTTTTTTTTAGCTGATTTTTTTCAACCATTATGCTTTCAATCAGTGAGGAGTTACTGTCGGCTCTGGGAGTTGATAGCAACAGCCTCCCACCTGTTGTTTATCGAATGAGGCTGCTAGGCTACCCACCTGGGTGGCTTAAAGAGGCTGAGATGGAAAACTCTGGTTTAATGTTGTATGATGGTAATGGCACGTTTGAAAAGAAACCTACAAATAAATATATACGCTTTTGTCATTGAAGAATTTCTCGATAAACACAAGGATTTTCTACTTTTTTGTAGATTCAAATGATGGCACTTCAACAGATAACAGGCAGAACACCTCTTATGATGTTTCCAAGCTGGTAGATTTCCCAGGCTTCAATGTACCTGCATCAGACAAAATGAAAGATGTAAGTTCTACATCACACAATTCTGTCAAATGCAACTGTAGCCAGCTACATATGTAGATTTTAATTGATGACATCTGTCAGTTGTGATATGTTTTTCAGTGAGTGAAATGTTGCACTGCTCTCATTCTTCTTTGTTTGTTTTTGCTTTAAGGAATTCCCATTGTATGGTTCAATTCCAATGCAGAGTACACATATGAAGAATAACTATGCAGCCTACCTTTCCAGCAACTTTCCATTGGTAATTGTCAAAAATATGGATGGGTGATTTGCATGTGTCTTTATGAAGAAAGTGAAGGTTGTTAAATGAATCTACTACAGAAGATGCCGTAATCCCTCACCTCACAATTCCTGCTCAAACATGCAGGTGGTATCAACACAGTTGATTCGTTTGTCTGCTTTGTTTGGACATGGTGATCTCACATGCTCAGTTTAAAGTGAATAAATAAACTGTTTTTGGATCTTTATTTTATATTGCTTCTGCCACTTGGATGACCATCAGATTAGAACAATGGTGTGTGGCAACAGCATTTTGAAAATATGTCTGTCTTATGCCACTTATCATTTATCATTGTCTTCAGCCAGGTGCCAACTGCAACAAGAGGCACCATGAATCTGACTCATTTCAGCCTCAAAAGAAGAGGAATAAACTCAGTCCTGATTATAATTCCAGCAGGAGCTCAGACATGGACATTGAATCAGGTAACAGTTTCATCACTTTCTAATTATAAACCTGAAACCAGATGGTTTTTTATTATTTAATTGTTAGGATTTTTGAATTTTATTTATCTTTTATTTCAACTAAATGAAACGTGAGGTCACACTACCCCACACCAGCCCTGGCTATAACTTGTTAAGTCACATATGTTAATAATAGAGTGACTTTGTTCATGTCTTGTCTTAGACCCAGGAACCACTTATAATAACGGCCAGGGGTTCCAGTTCCAACCACCACTGCCACCTGGTTCCCCCAGTTTCAGTTCACCACCTCCTTTACCTAAGGGCACTCCTCCAGCTACACCCACCCCTCCACCTCTTCCCAAAGGTACACCACCTCCTACGCCACCTCAGCATGGGCAGAGCTGGGTAGAAGTTGATGAGGCCATGGAGGGAACAGATGATGACTTGACATTGGAAGAACTGGAGGAGCAGCAGAGACGGATTTGGGCAGCTTTAGAAAATGCAGACACTGCCTCCAACAGCGAGTGTGAGACACCTGCAATAGGAACACCTATCCCCAGTTCACCAAGTGCATCTACGACCGCACAGGGCGACACTGATATAGAGGAGGCTGAAGGGGCCATGGATTCTAACACACTAGCAAGTGCCTGCCAAAGCAGTGAAACTGAGAGAGAAAAAGAAAAGGAAACTCAGGAGATTTTCCATAAGAGCCTGGGACAAAGTAAGGTAAATGAAGACAGCCTTCAGAGCCCTGAACCCATCACAGTAAAAGAAGACAGCCCTCAGAGCCCTAGACCAATCAGAGTAGAAGAACAGAGCCCTGCGCCACCCAAACCGGAGGAAGACAGCCCCCAGAGCCCTGAATCAATAATGGTAGAACAAGACAACTCCCAGAGTCCAGGACCAATCAAAGAAGAAGGAAACAACATTAAGAGCCCTCGTGCAGACTTATCAAACAGGGATGCTGAAAAAGAGTCTGATAGAGAAGCTGAGAGGATAACATCTGTTCCTCATCGGAGCAAGTTTGCTGCTGGAATCGTTCCATTTGAAGATACTCCAGAATACACTGAAGTTGCGGAAGCCACAGGAACATACTTGAGAATCAGAGACTTGCTAAAATGTTCCCCTAGAGGTTTGGCAAAGAAAAAATTAAACATTTAGTCTTTGGACAGTGATTGTTGTGTATGGGATTAATAGGAAGTTCTTTTTTTCATCTTCACTTGATCAATTAAAAACGTTTTAAAGCTGTGTACAATTTTGTACCCTTATCAATGTCTATAGTTAATTTTCATTTAATCACCAAGGAAATAGATTTGTAAAGTAGATATGTTACAAGGTCTGCTTTTTTGTTATTTGTAAAAACGGCATCAGTCATTGAAAAGAAATTCGATTTTTTATTTTAAATAATTTTTGTGCAACTACAACTGCTCTAAAATCTTGTATTAAAACTGTTTGCTCTTTTGCTGTTTGCACAATTTCTTGAATGAATGTCTTGAAGTCACAATTTGTTTGAATATCCTAACAGATAAAGTAATAAGTATTTATATATACTGGTATATACATAATTTCATAAAGATATTTTCCAATTTTGCTCATTTGTTGATCATCAAGATAAGATTAAGATATTTAGATTCAACTTTCCAACACCATTGGCCTAAAATTATTTGTATGTAGTATCAAGTGCACTTCAAATATCCTGACTCTTCTGCCTCTTGATTATTTTTCAAATAAATTTCAACTATGTCTTGACCACGTTTTCCATATATAATCATGTGGGGTGATTGTTTATAAAACAAAAGGCCCGCATTAAGACTTAGGTGGCTTAAAGCTCCCAATGTAATTTTTTACAGGGAACAATTGTAAAACAGTAACACCTGTTAACACAAAAGCTACTTAGATTGAGTTTCCCAAATGTATAGTGTGAAAACCTAAATTATTTTTTGTTCCTTTAAAGTACTTTAATTCTCCAGCATTACATAGCATATTCAAATGGAATGCCATTACAATTTTAGATTCCGTTTTTGTCAGTGAACGATATTCATTAGTTAATTTCTCCTATATCTTACATTTATAGTGTTTCATAAAAGTATTAAAACTATGTTGTTGTCACTGCTGCACGTTTAAATTTAAATAAATCCTATATTTTTTTACTATACAATATAATCCTGGATGTCAGTAATTTCAGATAGCCTAATTAAAAAATAGTTTATTCGATAGACGTAACCCTCGTTGACGACGGTTGCAAGGCAGTGCATTATCTTTATCAGCAAATTATCTTTGGTTCGGTAAGACGAAAGAACCCTTGTCCATGACTCGGTATCAGTTGTGAGGAATAAACCATCTAGCTGAACAAATAATCTTTGGAAGGCTGGGCAGTGTCTCTGTGTGTGTGATCTGATCCGAGCAGTAGTCGTTGCAGTTTTCTACCTTAGCCTGTTAGCTGTGTTGTTTTTTTTAACCCCAGAAGACGACGACGGTTAAAAAGATCCGTATCAGGTCAGTGTGAGAGCCTAACGCACCTTGTAATTTTTCTACTGACAAACCAGAAACACAAAAATGCCACCACTAAACAGAAAAAACTTGTCATGTGATGTAGATGTTAGTTTAGGTGTCAGTTTTGCTAGCCAAGCTAATCAGCTCTTCCTCAGTCAGTTTGAACACCGGCTCTACGCATCGCCCGGGCCTCTCTGTCTCCATAAAGTCTTACTTTTTCATGACATTAAGGCCATATTTAAGATCGTTTCTAAGGCTCTATGTGACAAGATATATTTACAGATGATTCAACCCGCAACAATTTGTTTTTCTGACTCTGAACTTGTAGCAGCCGTGTGCCCTGCTGGAGCTGCTGTGACATTGCGGAGACTTTTAGACTTAAGGAACCTGTATCCTAATACTGTATTATGTCAGTGGGTTATTACTTTGTCTGAACGCGTAGAGCTACTGACCACACAAAAATGACCTAGGTTAAGATATGGAATTTGTTCAACTCTGAATTAGTTGGTATAATTATATATATTCAGGCCCCACTGTAATCAAACGTGCCACCTCAGCGACAGCTCTAGTCCGTTAGCCGTGTTAAAGTGACAGACAGACGGCTAACAGGCCAGCAGTCAATCACCACAGCATTAGGAATGTGAGTAAAAACTATATATCAACTGTTTAATTGCAAAGTCTCTTCTATGAAATTCGTAATGCTAGTGTGTGGACCGTTTTGACAGATAGTTGTAGACTACTTTGTATTGTTTGTAATGTGTACAGTTTGCTATCGTTTTTTACATTCTATTGGCAACCATTGACGTCTTGTGTCAGGAAATATAAGATAACGTGATGCATGCTGTCAATTTCAACAAACGTAGATACAGCCAGTACTAGGTAAGTAACGTGACTGACAAGGTCAGTGTTTACCTCTTTCCTTGGACAACTTAATTCAAGCAATAAAGCAATGGAGTCAACTTATCATGACATCATTTCTGGTTTTCTTTTTAGATAATATCCAAAAGGGTTTCAGCCGTGTTATCTTAATTTGTGCATTGCGTTGCTGTTTTTATCCTGTCTTAAATGTTTAATTTATAAATAGGTTTCACTGAACAATGATGTGCAACGTTACTATGCAAAAAAGATATGGCAGTGACGTTTTTCATAGTTACTTAAGTCTTTCTGATCGATGAACAGCAAAGATGGTGCAAAATGTGAAATACTTTGTAGTAATTATCTAAATCTCAAATCACATGTACCTTAATTACCAGTCTTAGCTACAAAAAACACTAAACACAGAATGCAAGACAAATAGGGTCCCGGTTTAAATAGAATGTCCATTGGGTCCAGATTTAGACTGAAGATTAGATTCCCCTTTTTTAAGATTAAAAGAACATCTGCAGAAAAAATCTTGGCAGGATCTAGCTTGGGTCTTGGTTTTTGTCTGGTCATTGACCAACAGGGCACTGATGGAAATTGGGCTACTCTTGGTCAAAGACAGAGAAGAAGAGGAGGGCGTTTGGTTAGGAGAAAAAGAGAACAGAGGAAGAATAGAAGTGTTGGTCTGAAGTTTGGAACTTTGAATGTAGGTACAATTCCAGGGAAAAGTAGAGAACTAGCTGATATATTGGAGAGAAGAATAGTAGACATTTTGTGTGTGCAGGAGACCAGGTGGAAGGGCAGTAAGGCTAGAAATATTGGAGGAGGCTACAAACTGCTTTATCATGGTTCAGATGGGAAGAGAATTGAAGTAGGGGTGATCCTAAAGGAAGAATATGTAAGAAATGTGGTAGAGGTGAAACAAGAGTCAGAGAGGTTGATGTGTGTGAAGGTAGAAATAGAAGGAGTGATGATAAATGTTGTTAGCGGTTATGCCCCACAGGTGGGCTGTGAGTTGGAAGAAAAGGAGAAGTTCTGGAAGGAGCTGGATTGGATGATAGAGAGTATCCCTACGGGAGAGAGAATGGTGATTGGAGCAGACCTTAATGGCCATGTAGAGGAAGGAAACAGAGGAGATGAGGAAGTGATAGGTAGGTTTGGTGTTAGGGAGAGAAACTTGGAAGGACAGGCAGTGGTAGATTTCGCGAAGAGAATGGAAATGGCTGTGGTAAACACCTATTTCCAAAAGAAAGAGGAACACAGGGTGATGTACAAGAGTGGAGGCAGGTCCACACAGATAGATTATATTCTATGTAGAAGAGGTGATCTGAGGGAGATAAGGGACTGTAAGGTAGTGGCAGGCGAGAGTGTAGCCAAACAACATCGGATGGTAGTGTGCAAAATGACTGTGGAGGTGAAACAAAGGAAGAGAGTGAAGACAGAACAGAAGATCAAGTGGTGGAAACTAAGGAAAGAGAAATGTTGTGAAGACTTCAG